GGGGGGGGGGGGGAGACATAAGAGCAAGAAAGGCACACAGATATGCATGGAACCACAGAAACGCTGTGATCATAGTGGACGTACACCGGAGACGGCGGCCGCATTCCTGTACTAGTGGTTTGTTGCATGACATGCCTGGTGCGATGACAAGATGGTTCTCCCCGCCGGCGAAGACGACGCCAGGTTTCTACGCTGTTGTTGGACCCCCTCGCGACACCCCTCCATCTACCCCTCACGGCACCCCCGCCAACCCCAGGCCCCAGGCCCTTCGACGGGAGCACTGACGGTGCGCGGCAGTAGCTATTCGAACAACCCTCCAAGACACAAAACCAGCACGTAGCCCATCCATGCCGCGGTCCTCTTTAGCCTCCCTCGTTCTCGCCTTCGTGAGTGGTCACATGCCGAAGATAGCACCGGACAGTCAAATCTGTCAAAGAGTACGCCCAGTATCCAGCAGTTTTTTTTCCCGCTTCTATGTAAGGAATTCAACCCATCCTCTTAGACTGCTGTGACTATATGTCGAAGGGGTGGTCTCTCTTTGATTGTATGTATGCACATATTTCCTAAAAAAAAATGTCACCTCACTCACCCTGATTTTTCGGTTTCGTCGACTACGTATTCATACCTAAAAATCTGCCACTCACCCATCCCGTATCGCGGCGTCGTCTATGTATGTATCACCCCCTCCCGACAAGATGTATGTTGCACAACAATGTGTCACTGACCCACCCTGGTTTCTCATGGTGTCGTCGTCTATTCATGTAGCACCCCCCCCCCCCCCCCCCCCCCCCCCCCCCCCCCCCCCCCCCCCCCCCCCCCCCCCCCCCCCCCCCCCCCCCCNCCCCCCCCGAGGAAGAAGCATGTACAATTCCTTATAACTTGTCACTCACCCAGACTTGCTCTGGTTTCGTCGCCTGTGTGTGTACCATCCCCCTCCCGTGAACAAAAAACAGGGGAGGCCTATCCTGGTGGAACTCTAGATCCCTGCTCCGCCTCGGCCGCTGGTCCTGGCCCCACGGCGCCCCGTTCCACGTCACGAACTTTGTCGTGCTAGCTTCCAACCTTGTCGACGCCGGCGACGGCGGCGGCATCGGCCGCGCACCCGTGGGGGGCAGCGGCAACAACAACTCCCACGGCGAAGACCGGCGGCCGTGCTTGGCGTGCATCTCCCGGGAGGGGGAGGTCCGCGTGCTGAGGCTGGGCGCGGGGGGAGCCGAGGAGCTGCACCGGATGCCGCCCGCGGCGGGGGCGGGGATGCTTACCGTGCCGTCCCCGTCTCGGCACCAGTTCTTGCTGGTCACGAGGTGTGTGTGTGGGGGGTACTCAGCCGTGCATGCCGTTAGTCAGTCGTTAGACCATTGACCTCGCGTCCGGGACGGAGCACGCCGGGTTCTCACCGGAACAGGCTCTCACATCATCGAGCGCGAAGCGCCGGGGGGGTCTGAGCCTGTACGCTAAATAGACGTTCTCTCGGATCAAGTATTCGGACCTGGCGATAGACGTAGAGTGCAGCGGCACCACGCACCTGGCGATAACATTTCTAGAAGCCAAGACCTCGTGACACCGAGCTTGTGTGCAGTTTTACGGTGTACTTTCTCCTGCCCTGTCCTCGTAGAAAAACTCGCGCTCACTCCTCCCTCCCCGCTTTCTTGCGCCGCGGTCTGGCGTGGCGCCAGCAACCCCGCCTCCCGAAAGGCGAGGTTCCACCTCGTCAAGGAGGCGGTGCCGCGCCACCGGCTGCAGGCGTTGCTGGCCCACGGGGACTTCGACAGAGCGCTGGAGCTCGCCAGGGCTAACTCCATGGACGAGACCGATGTCCACGCCGCTCGCTTGCTGGCGCTGTTGAGGGGAGCGGGGGGTGCGGCCTCGGCATCGGGTGAGGCCCGTCGCTTGAGTAAAGTGGGGGGGG